TGGACAAAAGCGCTAAAAATATGGCCAAGGAGAGTTCGAAAACTTTTGGGATAGAGCTGACTCCGTTTTTCGATAATGCCACACACAAATACTGTTTTATCGCAATTATAAACATCTCGTTTGCTCGGAAAACTGGCCCAGCGTTCTGTAGAATGGACAGAAGAAGTTGTAATGAGAGAATTTTTGATCTTAGCTCGTGCGATTTTGGATCTGGTGTACCCTCGGGTAATGGCTTCATTGACAGCTTGCACAAAGCTCTAAATACTAAAAAGGCATCTTTTTGAAGAATATGTGTGAACTTTGCCGTTACTGCAGAGTCGTTTTCGCTATTTGTATTTAAGCTCTCTTGTGAAGGAATCCTATTGAAAAAAAATAGGGTCAATTGGTGTAAAAATGCTATATTTAGGTAAAAAATGAGACATTCAAATAAAACTACTGAAAACTTATACAGGGTGGTCCGAATTGTATTCCAGAAACTTCGGCAGCAGATTCTACAGATAAAAAAGTGAAAATGTTCGTATACATGTATATCCCGAAATGCTTAGTTTCGGAGATACAGGGTGTAGAAGTTTCATTTATTTTTATTTCGATTTTTTCCAAATAATTTCTGAAGTAACGTCATTATTTGGATGAAAATTGGTGTCTGGAAGTTTTTTGACGTGAGAAATTTGATTTTGATGTCAATATGACTCCTATTTGTAGGGGGCACCACCTACATGTGTTTTAACTGTTTTGAAAAGTAATAACTTTTTGTCCGTACCTGAATAAAACTACTGAGTGAAAAAATATACATTTCCGTGACTTTCTACGTAAAAAATGTCTCTTGGTAAAAATCGCTACAACCAACCGTTCTCAAGATATTTAGAATGGAAATAGTCAATGCATGTCATTATTGACAAAAAATAAACATATTGGGTAGATAGTTATTTGAGTGAAATTATAAATTTGGAAAATTTTTATTTTTTTTAATTAATAATTAATTTTTTTGCGAAAAAATGATGATAAAGAACTTTTGGCTCTTTTAACATAATAAACATAAAATCTTTTAACATAAAAAAAATAATAAACATATTTCAAATTTATGATTTCAGTCTAATAACTTAGTTAACATGTTTGATTTATGTCAGTGATGACAGGTATTTATAATTTCGATTCCAAATATTTCGAGAACCATTACTCATAGCGATTTTGACCAAGAAACCTTTTTGACGTAAAAACCGTCGTAAATGTATATTTTTTTACTCAGTAGTTTTATACAGGTACGGACAAAAAGTTATTACTCTACAAACCAGTTAAAAAATACGTAGGTGGCGCCTTCTACAAGTAGGAGTCATATTGACGTCAAAATTAACTTTTTCATGTCAAAAAACTCCTAGACACCAATTTTCATCCGCATATTAACATTACTTCATAAATTATTTGAAAACAATCGAAATAAAAATGAAACTTCTACACCCTGTATCTACAAAACTAAGCATTTTAGAATGATTTTAGAACATAGATTTATATAAACTTTTCTACTTATTTTTATCTGCAGAATATGCAGCCTCAGTTTCCGGAATACAGTTCGGACCACCCTGTATTAAGTGAGTTTTCTTGTTAGGAACACTTAACAGTAATTGTTAAAATATCGCCTACATAACTTATTTAATCTTTGTGTGATGAATCATGGAAAAATGAATTACAAATCCATTGTCTCGTTTTGAAACTGACTACCAAACTTTTGTCGGATGATATAAATATGAAGTAGTAAGGGTTCGACTCCTGTCGTCGCGTGGATAGATAGGTTACAGGTGTCATGGTCTTGAAAGGCATGCCCATTTAAACTGAGTCCTGTTGTATGAGAAGCTAGTTAATTGAGACACACAAAAGGGTGTATAATGAGAAAAAGGTAGGGGTAAATATGAGATTTAAATTTTCGTCATAACTCAAAAATACCATGTAAAAAAACTGTAGTTACTGAGATAAATAATCCTTTAAAGAAAGGCGTTGTTTTAAAATTACCACCCTCAAGTGTGCAAGGCGGGACTTCTAGTACTGCGGAATGTTTCCTCTTTCAACAGATTTTGAAAAATATTTAGTTCGTTAACTGATATAATTGTAGTTCTTTTTGTTCTACTCTTCAAGTGACACTATTAATAGTATTTTATTTACTAACTACATATTTTTCCTCATTTTTAATTTAATTTATTTCTTTTACACTTTCAGTTTATAAATGTTTTGCAAGGGTGTAATGTCACTTATTTTGATTTGAATTAGGTATATGCAGGTGTTCTTTATTAGTTTAATTTTTTTTATTTCAGTTCTACAAATGAAGACATGAATTAAATAATGTGGTAAATGGCCAAAAATCGGTTTGTCATGTCGCTTTGTCAAGTAAAAGTAAAAAGATTTTAGTTAACGTCTCCTTTTTGCTGCCAGGGCTAATCTGGACGGGGCCTATTTTGTTTACCCGGAAGCCGAACCGCTGTCCTCGGCCATATCATGGTCAATGGCCTACCGACTTGGCAAGTGTCTAAATCGACACTTACTCGCACGAGATATCCGATCTCATCCGGCCTCGAACCGGCGTGAATGAGCAGTGTGTGTCAATAGATTTTACACTTTTGTCTTTATTGGACAACAGCACGATACAGAGTTTCGAACCGGTCACCCGTCCATCCACTAGTATCGCCTTACGTCGCTTAACTTCGGTGTTCTAATGGGAACCGGTGTCTCGACATCGCTGGGCCGTTGCCCGGTTTGTCACGTTCCATAGCCAACAACATATACAGGGTGTTCCTTAATGACATGCTAATATTTAAGGAGGTGATTCTTGGACCTATTCTAAGAAAAAAAAACTTCTTATGAATACACGTCCTAAACATCTTTAACTTTTCAGATACAGGGTGGTAAAATTTTCTATTTTTTTGTTCATAATATCTCTCATGTTATATGTGATACACGTCTTCCATGCATATAAATGCTTATTTTGATATACAAAAAAAAATTGTTTTATTTCTTCATTTCCTTCCAGCCAATGCAGAGATGATTTCGACACAACAGTCACCACATCAAATTTGACCCTGAAGCCTGAAGTAAACTGACTTTAATTTTTTTAAGCAAAAACTATGAGTCGGACTAAAAAAATCCGGAGATAAAAAATATTTAGAAATGAATAGAGATTTTTAAAATAATTTTTAATTTATGAGAAGTCAGTGGTGTACCACTTTTTCTCGAAAAATATGCAATACAAAACCCGTATGGACGGCACTGGTTGAAATAAATAAAATTCTTTGTACACCATAAAAGGTATTTTGATGGATAGAAAACGAGTATCAAATTTCATAAATATACATATCTGTAATAAAGTCAGAGTAATAATAATAATAGCTCCCGTATATAGCGTTTAACGCCATGGGAGTAAGAGGCGTTGGGGGGCTAGGGCCGTTCGGTATACAAAGATAAAGTCAGAGTCATTATGAAAAAAAATATATTTTTAAGAAAATTTTACCATCCTGTACCTCAGAAATTAAGATGTTTACGACATACATTCATATGAAGTTTTTCTCTTAGAATAGGTCCAAGAACCACCTTAAATATTAGCAGGTCATTAAGGAACACCCTGTATAAAGCACTAAGTGCTAACCAAGTGCTAACAGCTATGTATTAAAAAAAATTCTCAACAGAGACACCGCCTGTTCTTATACATTGGTTATAGAACAAAAAATATTGTTTGTTTATCTCGAAATGATTTTGGCACTTAACACACATTATTTACTTCAAGTCTTCATTATAAAAAAAACTTCTATGTCTAATTTTTATCCTTCTAGTCGAATATTTACTTGAGTATTTAATATAAATGATAGGAGGGCCTTTAAATGTGCATTTTTTGTGACAGTCTTATATTTAACCCAGCATGTCTAATTTTCAGATTTTTATTTAGGGATATTCAGATATTTTTATGGGTTAAATATTAGTCTCAGAGCTAGCAATGTTTTCGAGAGAGAATTTTAAGAAAGCTGGCTCTTTAATATATCTTTTGCTATGCTCCCTGGAACAGCGTGCGAGCCGTTTGGCTGCCGCTAGACGCTGCGTTCACTACTGCACATTGAAAGAAAATCCTATATTTTTTCATATAGTTCGTTAAATTCTAGTATTGAATACAAATCGAGCAAGTCTTCATAGCGCGGCGCGAAAAGGTTACGCCTATGAAACGACAAGTCCCGAGTTCGAAACCGGCTCGGGGTAAACTTTTTTTTTAATTTTATTTTGGTTTATATTCTGATAGAAAAGTATTAAATATTTGTTTTTTTTTAATCACTAGAATTATTTAATACTTTACTTCCAGGATATAAACTAAAGTAAAATTAAAAAAAAATTACCGTGAGCCGGTTTCGTACTCGGACTTCTCGCTTCACAGGCGGACTAAATAAAAGGACTAAATAAAAATAATAGGATCTTCTTTCAATGCGCAGTAGTGAACGCAATGTCTATCTATCGGCAAAAGATATATTAAAGAGCCAGCATTCTCAAAATTCTTGTTTTTCCGACGTTGTTAGCACTCATACTATATGGGACACTCTTTACTTCCTATATGGGACGCCTTTTGTCACAAACTAACTTAATAAGTTAGTCTGTGCTTTTATAGAAGAAATACTTTTGTATTTAAATGGCTGTAACGAAGAAAAAAAGTAAAAGTTTTGAAAAATGTCTCATTTTAACACCACTTGACCTTACAAAACTAAAAAAAAATCATTATGTGACTTACCTTGTTATAGAAGAAGACACACTTTTACTGTCTGTTTCTTCTACAGAATTAATTGAAGAAGTAGAAACGGCCATAGCAATTTTGTTATCCACTTCTAACACCACCCCATCGATAATATTATCCAAAATCTCTACTGCCGTTTTTTCACTCTCAGTAAATTCAAGTTTTGATTCACTTTTTCCTTCAGCATCTCCATTCACCAATACATTTCCATGCTCATCTTTGGCAAATTTTGCCTCACCATTTGCTAGACCTAATTTATCACTTGCATGTAATTCCGCATGAACTTCGGCTTCTAAAGCCTGATTCTCCATTCGTGTAAAGATGACATTTAGCATTTGAGTCAAAGTGGCTCGAGCTGTAGTTTGATTTATCAGATTCTTACTAGCAAGAAATATATTATAGCAAGTTCTCACAGCCAATAACACTGTACCTTCGTGCACTTCAACATGCTGACTAGTAACTACGGTAAGTAGTGCTTTTATTATCTGTAATTGAACACCTATAACAAATACACGTACAAAATATTAGATTATATTATTTGATAGGCATCAATTTTATCCCAGTACCTTCATCAGTTTGTGGTCCAGTAAAACATGAACAAATAGTCTCCACAATTCGATCTATAAGAAGCTTTCCTGGGGTAGTGGAATCTGGTACGTTAGCAGTTAAATGACCGTAAGCAATTAATTTTTGTAAACAATCTAAAGCTGTGGTAACAATTCTGGCCGATTTGCTTTGACAAGCTAACTCAAAGGGAAGGAAATATTTTTCAGTGGTAAGCACATTAGCGTCACCACTTTTAGGTAATGGTAAGACATCCGATATTTTATCTGGTTGTTCATCGTCAGGAGAAGATTCGTTTTTGGTTTCATTTTTAAGTTCCTCTAAAAAAATATTATTTTTCTGTTTAGCAAACTGCTAAATAAAAGAATTATTTATTTATATATTTAATTAAGCTGTTCTAATCCTTTTATATAAAAATACCTATGACATCAAATGAATTTAGAATGTAATCTTTTAATAACCAAGTGAAAGTTAAAATAAACCTTGGCTTCTATTGATTACTTTATTCACATTATTCGTATTCTTTTACGATTTTTTAATCTTTATTACTACATTTTCAACACAGGTATAATCAATTTCTGATACTGTTATCAATTCAAAGCAAAAAACTTACCTAAAGCAGCTTCGCATGCTCTTTTCAGTTGGGAATGATATGATCTTTTAATTTCCTTATCATTAAGAATCTTTTCTAAAGCTCTTAATATGAACATCTCTCTCGTTTTACTATTTGATTGCATCGTTTACAAAGATATTATTAATCAACATAAAATACCCCTCAAATCCATTGAAGGGAGGCTCATTTTTAAGTGACGTGTAACTTGTTATTTCAACATAAATTGCGCACTATTTACCACACAGACACTGTTTAAATACATTACTATACGTTGTACAAATATCGAACTTTAATTAAAATTAATTAGAAACCGTTTTTAAAGGATAATTTTTACAAAAATATTGTTTATTTAGCCAAAAGTTCTTGTTCATATTTCATATTTGTCAGATTGACGTTGGACGTGTTGTATGTTGTCATTGGAATTACTAAAAGATCCAAAAGATGGCACCACTAAGAGTATCTTAGGCAACCATAAAAACGTGCCTAGTGTATATTTGGTGTACTACCACTAAGGTAGGTATATTATCAGATATTTATATAAGGATTGGTATAAGGATTATGAAGGGAAATTATATTTTTTAAATCACACAAGAACATTTTCTGTATTTATATCATTATATTAAGATTAAGTATTATATTTAAAGCATTTTATTTTCTGTTATCTACATTAATAAAATCACAAATGTTCATTGTGTTAATATAAAAATATCGTAAAATATATTAATTTAACGAAGAACTTTACACGTATAAAATTAAAGCTATGTTAAAAATGTAAACTTACATTGGTAAGCTGGAGTAAATTGTTCGTGTTTTATACAATTATTACACAGAAGTTAACATGTATTGTATTAACTAATTAATAATTTTTATTAATTTACATTTTACATGTCACATTAATAAGAATTTTTATATGTATATAACATTATACTTTATGAGAAACTATTTAAATTTTGTTTTTAATCAGATTTAAGTCGTTCGTATATCAATATCTGCCATTTTTATCTCTATCAGAATATTTTCCGGACAATTTGCTAACGGAATATCTGTCACTGTATCTATCGTCGCCATATTTTTCTTCAGCTTTGTAGTGGATCTCCGGGGAAGCCCCGATCGTTTTTGACCAGTGGTGGGTCCAGTATAATTCGTCAGGGTTCACCTGGCTGGGAGATTTGGCGTCTCGGAATATGACCACACAGTATATTAAACTGCCGATCAATGTAAGGAAGCCGAAAATCAGGAAGATTACTCCAAAAATCCTAAAACAAAAAAGAAATAGAATATTTCAAAATGTATTTTCTTTGAAAATAACTTCGATATGCATTCTAAAATAAAAATTAAGCTTAGTACTGCCAAAAATTTGATCAAAAAAGTGATTTTCGTATACAGGGTGGTCCACTGTTACCAAGTTGCTCCTGATCAGGTTGCATGTTTCTGGCTTTTTAATTTTTGGTTTTAAAATCTGGCAGTATACACATTTAAAAAAACTTTTTTTAATACCGGGTGCGTCTCGAAAGTGGCTCACTCCTATAACTTTTTTATTTTTTCAGATAAAAAAAACGATATTTAGTATATTAGTATTTGACATAAATTAGGATTGATTCCCATATTCGATTATTGTTTTCGGTCACCTCCTTTTTCACCGGAAATGACTACAACTTTTGATTTTTAAATGAAACTCTCCGTATATTTCTACTTTATTCGATAGAAAATAACACTCTAATAAGTAATATAAGTTGAGTTTAATATAAATTAAGTCCTGTAAATGTTTTTTTTCTAATATACAAATTATGTTCGCAGTCACTCAAAAAAATAATTTGTTTATTTATTTAAAAAAATGTATTAATTTCATTCAAGTTCATATACCAAATATTACAATCATGGGTTTAAAAATAACCGAGTAACATAAGGTCAAATGGTCAATGCCCTCCCCCCCCTCAAAAAAAAAATCAGAAGAAAATTAGGAAAAACCTATTTAAATGAAATAATAAATTTGTAAATAACTTTTTTCATCCTAAGATATTCTAAACTATTCCCAAAAACCATCAATTTGTCCAATTTTCCCTTAAAAACGTTTTATTACCCATTGTCTCTTCTGCCGGTCAAAATTTCATTTTGTCCGTCGTTCCCGCTATATTTTACGTATTAAACTAAAAATGCCGCGGCTCGGAGCGCCATCAAGGTAAGGTATTACCAAATATAACGGGTTAAGGTGCGATAGATATAGTTTATATATTGCCAATGACCGCGTCATTCATAAAAGGATTTCAGTCGTTAAAAATTTCGCCGTTTGGGCAGTTTGGGTGTTATAAAAACTCAAATTATAAAACAACCTAGGTTTTATGGCGTATAATGTTTGGTTTAGTCAATATAAAGCAATATTTAAATTTTAATATCGAAAGAAATCCCATCTAGTTTGAGGTGTAGCGCGAAATTTATGTGTAGGTAACAATTCATAATTTTCCGGTTATGGATAAATGATGAACTGTGGTTGACTGATTCTGGAATAGATATTTTAAAATAGACAACATACATATATAGTTTAGTTTGTGAAATCGTGCGGTTAAAAGAAAATAATTGCTTAAATTTCGAAAAACTTTAGAGAAAGAACGCCGCATTGACTTAAAATATAAAAAAAATGTGAAATAAAACTTTTAGAATTGTGTATGTGTATATATGACATTTATATTTTTCTGACATATATATAACGTATATTTATATGTATTTTAAATCCTACCGTGGAAAATTTGTGTAAAGAATTAACATTGACTGGATTTTTAGTGAAATGGCACTGGGGTCTGCAACCTGTTTAAAAATGTAAGGGCAGATGTCATTTTAACAGAACTTATATTTATTTTTAGATTTATTTTTCTTTAACTAAACGTACAAAAGTACCTTGTAAGAAATCAATTAAATTTGGGCGCGTCCGAGGGCGCGTCTTAAAAAAAATCGACGCAATATTTTTAAATATTGACCTCCCTACAATAATGATCATGAGCCGCCACTGGAAATAATATCAAAAAAGAACTTTAAATTCCATTTTCTCAAAACTACGTTTTGTGACTTAATAGTTTGCTTCTGGGGTACAGATATGGGTTAGCAGTAAAAATATCGACAAGCAGTATATACCATTAAATATGTCTCAGCCCAGAAATAGCCCATATTATGATGTCTATGCGTAACCACCGTAATAACAAGGCCGGACAGCTGTGACGTAAAAATCTCGTGACGTCACCAACTGGAGGCCCAATTCTATTTAGCAGCGTTGATAATTACCCGATAAAAGTTCAAATTGTGGATCTTTTTTCACTCGCCAGATATATTTCGAAGTTTTAAAATGTCTTTTCCGAGTTTTTAAATATATTATAGTATATAAAAATAGTTTTAATAGAATACGGAAAAAATCATACGAGTGGTATTGCCGTAGTTGACAGTCATCGATTTATCGGTAGGTGTGCGGACGTGGTAATTATAATCGATAATAGAAGGGTGAAAACAGTTATAAATCTGTAAAAAGAGGTGTTTAAACTATAAAGTGATTATAAGTGTGTGCAATTATACAATTTAAAAGGTATAATGCCTTATAATATCTAAATAATAAGATGTGAATATTATATTTAAACCTATATTTCTTCTGTTTTCTCATATATATTTATATGTATTTTCTACTTATCTTTTACCTCACCTCAAACCTTTCATATTTGAAAGCTACATAAACTACACCCTCTACATCGATTAACTACATGTAATGTAGTTTATGTAGTTTTAAAGAGTAACATGTAGTTTTCCGAACCCTGATAGTAATACTGATCAAATTATTAGTCATGCTTGTTATTTACTAAATTCTTTAAAATGCGATGAAAATAATAAAAAATTCTAACTTTTATCTGTGCTCAATATTAAAGTTATTAACTTGAGTTGAGTAACAGGTTGAGCTTGAAGTAATAAAATATTGTTTTAATGAGTAAAATATGAGGTATGTTTTACTCGAGAACTTGCAAACTGATCCTCTTGAAAGTAGGTTTGGAAAATATAGACAGTTAGCCGGGAGTCAGTGCAGTATTTGTGTTCGACATTTATATGAAGGCGAAAAGAAACTTAAGATTCAGTCATTAATGTCCCTAAAAATAATTTAACATTTTCAGACAACACTGATATTGAACAAAATTCACTTATAAAAAACCTTTCTAAAGGCAGTCTTGGGTTTCCAAAAGATGAAATAACTGATATAGTTTTATTTGAATATATAATTTTAACAAAGTCTTGCAAAGCCATGAGGAGTTTCTCAAAATTCACAATGAAAAAATATTTTTATCAAAAATATCTTTGGATTACATTAAAAGTAATAACACCATTATTAAAATTTCCGCAATGTACTATTTACAATGCTTATAAAAAGGGTGAATTTATAAAGTTATTGTAATTTATAAAGTTATTGTAAAAATTGTTATAAAATCTATTAGAAACACACGTCTGAAAAACTACTGTTAAAAAATAATGACTTGGAAAAGGAAATAAAAGAAACTTAGACACACTTACAGCATAAATAAATACAATGACGATGGATAATGTGAGATAGGATATCAATCTGATGTTTTTCAAATTTTATGTTTAATTATTATTTATTAAAAATTTGGTGCAATTTAAGTTTATATCCATTATATACGTATAAAGTATATCAAATGCAATCAAAGTTTAGGCCTCCAGTTGATGACGTCACGAATAAGCTGTCCGGCCTTGTTATTACGGTGGTTACGGTCTATGTCGGTTTTGCTATCTCTAGACAGAAAATTGGGTTCTTAAAACAGACCACCCTGTACACAATTTGGACCACCCTGTATATGAGGTATCCAATTAATTTTTTTTACACATAAGAGGTTATAGACATTTGTTAGTAAATATGGCTTATACATATATCGTGACATATACATACACTAGTTTAGAATTAGGATACATACCAAACAATAAGTGGCTCGAAAAATTGAATGACGATTACGAATCCGAGAGTTACAAGGATGATGCCTAAATTCAGCAACAGCATCAAGCAACACATGCCTTTTATGTTGGGGCAAAAGGGATTCGGGGCTGCCATCGTTTCTATCGTCATTCCCGCTTTTCTTGACCCTCTACCCGTCTTTGCAGTACTCCTGCTAGCTCTGCTAGCGACGGAAGGAGCCATTCCGGACCTGTAGGAGTAGTGGCTGGGTGCTCTAGCTCTAGATGTCCGACTACAGTAATAAAAAGGTTTATTAAAATATTATAAAAAATAGATGATATAATTCTTCTCGTGTAAGTTTAGTAATAAGTAAACAAAGCAAGCAAAATTCGTATTTTCTTTAAATAAAAATACGTAAAATTGATTACGAAGCTTCACTTAATTCAAATTAATAAAAAATAATTTACAATTATTACATTAAAATACAATTCAAAAAAATAATTACGTCATTAAAATTACAAATAGAACATACATGGACATTGAAGAACACAAAAAAGGCGTACCTATCATTAAAATTTTACTACAGGAAAATTGTAAATGGATATAATCATTTAAAAGTTATAAAATATTAAATACTAGACTTTTAACCAGTGTGTGAGATGATCAAAATTTTAAAATTCAAAATTGTTCATGATTAAACAAAAAAGTCGTTTACCGCATATAGGGATCTCTCCAGTAAGTATGATTTCAGAGCTTTGCGAAATGCAGGAAAGAATGAAAGCGACTTGATATTCAAAGGCAGATGATTGTACATTTTTTTGGCATTGTACAATATTTAGCCTTTAACTAGTTCTGAGCTCGGCGTTGGCAGATAAAGATCGTGCTGTGTGCTGTGCATTCCTAAGTGGATAGTTGTGAGTAGTGAGATGGCCTTTCGGGAATAGCAGATATATGCTTGCGGATTAAGCAAACGGTTTCAAAAATTAATAAAGAAGGAAGAGTCAGTATTTTGAAATTTTTAAAGAAATTCTGGCAGTGAGTTCTATTGTTCAGTCCCAATAAATATCGAACTGCTCTCTTTTAAAGTTTGAAAATACGATCAAATTAATTAATAGTTGTATATTATACAGGTTGTTTCAAAAAACATGTACCATTTTTCGTGAGGAGATTCCTCACGTAAAAATAAGATTTATTTTTTATATCAACATCCGATTCTGCTTTGTTTCGTAGCTACAGGGTGTTAAAGTCCTAATAATATCTTTCGATTTATTATAATTTTCTTCCCAGTACTTTGAGTGATTCGAATGAAATTTTGAGGCTAAAAGTTACTATAAGTGCTATATATTTTAATGCCAAAAAAGTGTCTCTAAATTCATCAGGGACGTGCATATGGGTTATCGCTGGAATATTTTTCGAAAATAAATATGTGCGCCACTGGACAGACAATAACAAAATATCTAAATATATTTACTTCTATTATCTTAGGATTATGTAAAGTGATCTGAAAGGAAGCCAAAGATGCAATAATATACAGGGTGTTTCATTTAAAAAAAATCATCCCGATCCACTCACACTTTTTTGAGCCAACCTGTAGAAGTTATAATATTTTCCTGAAATACGTCCTATTACATACACTAAGTATGTACTTAAACAAAATTTCCAAGCTTTTTAGTCTAGAAGCTACAGATACCCGACGCACTATTGCCGGACTTTGTATACGATAAAAGCTTGACAAAAGTAAAATTCGGAGATTGTGTCATAAGAATTTGCTTAAACTTTTTTTGATTTTTTTTAGCATGTAGATGATGTTTTTTTTGAAGCAATTTTGCGGAAGCTCTAGAAGCAATTACCCAATTGCTGCTTGCAAAGTCTAGAGAACAGAGTTCTAGAAAAAGTGTTCGCCGAATTTAAAGAGTGGGGAGATAAACTGAGGATAATGTCTATGAATAAAGATGTTATATACTATCGTATTTTTTTAAACAACAAGAAAAAGTGTACAATTTTATACATGTGGTCAAAGTAATGTCTATTGTTATAAACGAATTGTCTATTAATATAAATGCCAATGTTAATATTAACAAATACAATATACGAAAGGAAAAAAGTCCTAATAAAAATAATAATTACCTGATTTCCGATGGAGCTTTATAAGCACCACTGGTAACATAGATATCGGAACCTGTGTCATCGTATCTGCTTCCTCTACTTAAGGCAGAAGGTGCTCTGGATGAGGTGTACCCGTTTTGTCTGGGACTACTGTTGTTTACGTAACCTCCAACTCGACCATTTCGTTCGTTTACTATCGTATATGGCTAAAACAAAAACGTATGTCAATCAGTACCCAGTATAGCCATAAAAAAATTGGCGCCGGTAGGCACGTATAGCCGCCCATACTAAAATATGTTAATCAAAAGTTGGTAGGCAGTTCTTTTAGTTTCAGTTATCTCAAAAACTGCGACTTTGACTGATTTTGAAGTTATTAGAAATTTTGTTGCAAATATTATTCCTAATCTTAAATTAAAAACCACGTTTCGCTAGCTACTGTAATTTTGGAGTTACGATTTTTTAAAATGTTTAACCCCCTCCCATACCCCCTTTCCAACCCCCACCCCCACCAAAAACTAATGGCCAGATTCTCGGGTGCCACAGTATGTTTGTGCCAAATTTGGTTAAAATCGGTTTAGCGGTTTTTGAGTTATCGTGTAACAGACAGACGGACAGACGGACAGGTAGACAGACAGACACCATGAAAATATTTTGTATTTAGGTCATTTATGACTCAAATAACTCATTTTGAGTGAAATTAAAAAAACTTTTTTTTTGTCGATCTTAATAGCCTACCATACCTGTTGGTATGGTCGGCTAAAATTTGAACCACAGTTGGCTTGGAAATAACGATCGGTTGTCTTTTTTGATTAGCCATTATGCAGGGTGAGTTTAAGTGCAAACATTTTTAGGGGTAGTATATTTCGACCTATAAGGTTTTGTTCGCCAAAAAAAAACATTTTAACTAAAAGTTTTTATAGTTTTTAGTTAAAAATTATAATTTCTTCTTAATATGGCAACATATGTCTAGTGGACTAAATTTACAAGAAATAAAACCCAAGAACGGCCCAGTGCTGTGGCCCAGCGGTTTTCAAAATGTAAGCAAAAAATCTTGTTTTTTTAATTTTCAAAGTAAAATAATTCCGTTATTTTGGACTTATTTGAAACACGGTAAAGAAAAAATATGTTTCTCTTATAGAGATCTATACCAGCCCTGAAAATATTTGCACTTATCCATTATTATTTCCAAGACACGTTCAGGCTATTTTTTTATCAAGCCGGTTTTGATATAGGTATATTGACAGTTAAATATACACTCAGATGCAAAAAAACGCAACGGAGATATTTTTAGTCAAATTTAAAGCGTTATATTTTTGTTATTCTTAGCCCTATTTTCATAATTTTTTTAGCAAACGGTATATAATTAAATCAACTTTAATTCGTAAACCGTGAAGTGGGGTCACTTTTTCCAATTCTGAATTTTAAATCGTGTTTATTTCAAAAATTGTTGTATTTTCTCAAATGCGCATGGTCTATGCTATAAGTGGTAATAAGGACAACACAACAATAATACGCTTTTTTGTTCATTAAACAAATATATATATAAAAAAAGTAAAAAACTTGATGGGCAAAGTTAGTTGCTTATATGGGGTGTCTTTGCCCTCTTCCTTATTCTTATTGATAGACCAAAGCCACCCCATTTAAAAGCATAATTACGTAAAATATGCTTCATCACCCTCAATATTATAACGAACTTCTGCATAATACTTACCTCAATATAGCGTGGTTAACTATTGCAGCCACGTAGAACGCACAAAATAGGCTTTAAAAACAGATTTGGCTTCACAGCACTGTAAATGCTACATCGCAACTGACGGCAAGCGTTTAGCGACTTTCCGAGACGTGGGGAGCCTCCACCCATAATTTACCGGTAACACATAACGCGATCTTTTCAAGTAGTGGCTACGGCTACGTCTAACATATTTTCGGACGGAATTTGGAAAAGTCACCCCAAGAGGCAAAGTCACCCCATTTCACGGAACTAATTTTTTTAAAAACTTTAGTATTTGGTATATTATACAGGGTTAATTGAGGGGTTGTTTTTTTACCCAAACTTTAAAACACCCTGTGCAATAATTTCGTGCGTAAATTTTTCTAAAATATAATTTTGCGGTCAGAACCATGTCTCCTGAGCATTTTGTTTTTTGGATCATGTCAATACATGCTTTGGTTAATTTTTAAGAGCGAAATGAACTTGTCATCAACAATTTGTAATTTTTTTCAATGATCGTTTCTTTGTGAAATAATTTTTCAATATGACAAGGCTGCCTTGGCGATTATTGTGAACTATATACTACTATGAACTGCCCATCATGTTCGACGTTTGGGAAATGTTTGGCAGGAGGATTAGAGGTCGCGAAGCGGTACCAGCTTCATTAAATGAACTTCGCTAGGTTCTTAAAGAAGAATGAGAAAGCATAACGCAATATGGTATATGCAGCCTTAATGACAGTATGATCGGACGTATACAGGCAATTAGATCAGCCAAGTGAGGCAATACAAAGTTTTAGGGTATTTTTTACAATTTTTTTTTCTGTTTGTATACTTATTAATGTTTATTAAAGCCAGGACAGTATCGTTGGTCTTTAATGTTTTTTTTTTATTTTATTTTAGTATAGAGTATCCAATGCAGCGTAATACGACGTTACAACATTAGTCACCAAAACCATCTCGTCGTATTAAAAAATCACATCAAAAAGTAATGATAACTGAAAAAAAATTCAAATTGATCGTGATCAGTTCATTTTCCTCTTAAAAATTAATTAAAGCTTATATTGACATGAATCAAAAAACAAAATGCTCAGGAGTCATGGTTCTGGCCGTAAAATTATATTTTAGGAAAATTTACACACGAAATTATTGCACAGGGTGTTTTAAAGTTAAGGTAACAAAACAATCCCCCGATTAACTCTGTATAATATGCCAAATACTAAAGTTTATAAAAAAACTTAGTGTACGAATTAAAGTTAATATAATAATATACAGTTTGCTAAAAATTTCATGAAAATAGAACTAAAAATAACAAAAATATAACACTTTAAATTTGACCAAAATTTTCTCCGTTAGGTTTTTTTTGCATCTGAGTGTAATATATCTCAACGTCAACTAGTTGAAGCCTGGTGCATCCGCCATGACATCGGGAAAAAAAATAATTTTTTTTTAATTAATTGAAAAACAAAAAATCCGGCGACGACGGTTTTTAGAAGAACCAATTAGCTATCTTTTAGTAAAAAAGCAACTTTCTAGAGCAAGTCGTTACTCAGTAGAGACGACACAAATAAACATTAGCATTTTATATATGTAGATGTAATGTGAATGTTACGGAATACAATTCTTGTGGGAAATGTAATTCCCCATAAGAGAGGTAATTGTAATTGATTTCTGTCATACTTTTAATCACATTTTTTTAATGATACTAAATTACAGCTTATGTCAGTAATCTAAATTTAAGATACAAGAGATTATTTATTTTTATTTCTATAGAAAGGAGATGGCATACCATGTTCCGTAATAAAATGAAAATAACGAAATAATCACAAGATTAAACGAACTTACCTGAAGTGAAGTTCAATCTTGATTATATGAAGGTCTCGTCGAAATAAATAAGTACAATGTAGTTCCCTTTTCTCCGTGCGGCGACCACACATTTTAAAGCCTAAACAAACAAATTTCAACATGCCCCTCGCTTCCCTGCTCCCTTACCTCAAAAGTTTTAATATTCGATGTACTTAAACAGCCGTAAACGGTAGCTTACTAAAATGCCGTTAATAGATATTGTGACGTCGTTCACGTCGGCGGAAAGTAATGCCTGCCTATAAGCATTTTGCAAGAGCACCTGTGGCTCCGTGGCTGAGGCTATCGCTTCGTGAGCGAATGGTCCGTGGTTCAAATCTCACGCCGACCAAAACTTAATTTTTTTTGCTTATAGCGTGATCTTTTTGGTTGGATTGGTTTAGTTATTTAGCGGGTTGGTTAGCGCGGTTATTTGGAGTGTGTTAATTCATTGGTTAGTTGGTTATTTGGTTATTTGGTGGGGTTGGTTGGTTTTTATTAATTTATATTTGTTTTTTATATTTTCTATCAGTGTAGAGGTTAGTTGCTTTGGTTAAGTTGGTTATTTAGTGGTGTGGATAGCGTTGATTAGTCCTTATAAAATGATTATATTTCATAAAGCCGTCAAGTGCGTCACATCAACGACGTCATACCTATTAACGGCATTTTAGTAAGCTACCGTTTAACGGCAGTTTAAGTACAGCCTTTAATATTTAAAGATATTATTCTCACATCATATTGGTTGAACAGTTGATGGGTTGAAGTGACGAATGCGACCGCTTGTTGAAGTCCAATTAGCAGAATTGCTGTTTTGATACAACTCACTCTGAGACCCTATCCCTAGGATAGTACAGGGTGAGTCAACGATATAGGAAAGTCCATTATCTTCTTTGTTTCGAGGTTTACAAAGAATGTTAAATATAAAAGTAATTGGAAAGGTTAAGATGCACATTTTAATATTATTATGGAATATACAGGGTGCTTCCCAAAGAGTGTGGCGGATATAACATATATATGTTTTTAAAGACAATACCTGCCAATTTTATTTAATTTTTAGATTCTGCGTAAAATTTTATAACTTTTTCACTACTGTTGGTAAATAATCTCACCGTGTTAATAAGGAGAAAACGTTTTTCAAATAAAAATTAACATTTATAACACCAATCCATAGCCTTCGAATATCCGAATTTTTTGGTATCATAATCATCATCATATATTATCGTGATAATAACGGAAATCTTCCCTGTCATATAATAAGATAAATACAATATTCGTGATAGAAATCGGCTCGTTCATGACTTTTTCGTCTGCAAATTGCTTCTGCTCCTCGAAATGGGCAAGTGGGTAAAGTCGTAATGCCGAAACACATCGCGCCGCGCTGATCTCTTACGGTAAATGAAAAAGAAAAAGCCACGCATCTTCGGACGTAATTGGCCTAGGTATACGTAGAAATTCAGATGTCAACTTTAATCAAGGAGAGAGAATCGCAGAGAGTGTATACAGGGTGTCGCTGGTTGAGTTTGCAATGGAAGCTTTTGGAGCACTACTATATTGAAATTAAGCTTTTTTTGCATATATATGCCTTACATATATTATTATTCATAGTATGGAATGAAAATATTTTAATTTGGCGATACTAGGTTCGTTCAGGGTT